GCAACTCGGACTAGACTAAGTTACTGGAATTAAGACTTATTCTATGCATCTGCTCTTCCACAATATGGCGCTGAGAAGGGAGAAACAGCCTCTACACAGCTGCCTCCAGTTCAACCAATAAACAGCAGGACCTGCTCCTGATTGGAGGAGAGCAGCGTACTCGGCGTGTGGGTAGCAGAGTTGGGATTGGCGGAAGAGGACTATAAAGGAGAAGAGAGATGGCATGCACCAGGAACATCTAAGGGGAACATCTATCCGAATAACACCTGTGCAGCCCCTGAGAGAGCCGGCTGGCGGTGTGCCGCTCCCCCACGGAAGTGGGGAATGTGGCAGGGGGAACCGCCCTTCCACGGAGGTGGAAGGGACAGTAGCCAACCCGGGAAGAACCAGCAGCAAACCCGGGGAGGGCCGAGCAGACGAAAGAACAGAACAGGGTCCTGTGTCGTTCCTCCACGAAGACGGGGAGTGACAGGATGCCAGCACTGGAGACGGTGGCTTTACCTGCTACGCCACAGTGCCAGGCCCCTGGTGGCTGCTGTTTTAAACAGGGTGTTCACTTCCCAGCTGGCCACAATTCCAACACCTGCTGTCCTGACACTTCCTACTGTAGCAGATCTGGGTTGGGATCTGCATCTCTTAACAAGTTCCCGGGGAGAGCTGACACCGCAGGTGTAGGGAGCATGCCTTGAGCACCACGCCTTGTTGTGTCTTGAACACTAGGATGGGGAACTCGTTCCCACTGGTCATCAAGCTCATACTGTGGTGTCTCTCATACATGCATGTAATGTGGCTTTCCTGGTCCTGGTGGATCTGGGGTTTGCAGTTGATGATGGGTTTGCAGTATGATCTGCACAGCAGGATTGGGTCTACAGGTCACATGAAACAGAAGGGTCGGGGGAAAGAGGGTTGGGAATGGCTGAGGCTCTGCCTAGCGGAGGCTTACGGCAGCTGAAGCTGTGGCTGTGTGGACTTGTCCCCAGCGAGGGTGTGCAGAGAGAAATGGATTGTGAGTGAACAGCAGAATTTCAAGGAGGTGTTGGCACCCCTGCCTTAGGGGAAAGTTGAAAGAATAGTCACTGTTCAAGGAACAGACTGGAAGTTGCCTTAAAAGGAAGTAAGGAAGGGGTGCTGGCGCTGTGGCACAGCTGGTTAAAGCCCTGGCCTGCAGCACTGACATCCCATATGGGCGCTGGTTCAAGTCCCGGCTGCTCTAATTCCAATCCAGCTCTCTGCTATGGCCTGAGAAAGCTCAGTTCTGGCCATTGCAGCCATTTGGGGAGTGAACCAGTGGATGGAAGACCTCTTTCTCTCTCTGGCTCTACCTCTCTCTCTCTTTCAGATAAATACATAAATCTTAAAAAAAAAAAAAAGCAAGTAAGGAGATGGTCAAGAGAATTCTTGGCCTTATTATAGAGAGTGGGCTGTTGGCAGACACCTGAGGCCAAAGCTTAAATAGTTAAACAGTGACATTCTCAGGTGAGCTCACGAGCTGGGGGTGGACAGGAAGCAGGTGTCCTGTTACCCTTGTACGCCCACAGCCTACCTGGTAACCTGCTGTTGCTCCCAGGCACAGCTTGTTGTGAGCAGTCGTCTCTGGGGTTTCAGTGACACTGCTGCAGCTTGGAGCTAAGCATGGTGAGCGTCATGTCACCCAGCTCCTTTCTTCTTAACCTGATACTTGTGTGCTGAGCTTCTCACGACCAGGGTGGGGGTGCTTCTGTCGTGGTGGTTTTGTTTCTGATGTATGTGGTGGGGAAGGCTAGAGCTGACACTGGAAGAGGGGGAGTCTGTGGCATCCCATGGGAAGTCTCAAGACCAGGCTGAGGGGTTTGCATTCGGTACTGTGGCAAGAAGGAGCCACACTGAGCTCCACAGTGGGGAGCAGGTGTGTGGTTATCACACACCGGTAGCCCTGGTGCCTAGCACCAGACTGGGTCTGAGTAGGCATGCTATAAACAGGGCGTCCTGGTGGGGAACGAGGGAGTGAACTGGAGGTTCGAGGGACAAGGTAGCAGAAAATGTGATCAAAGCAAAATTCTGGGAGAAATAGCGCCAAGAACAAATGCTGAGTGAGTGAAGTCCCCGAGCGTTGGAGCCAGGCGCACCTGAGGGCGTCCTTCCTCTGCACTCTGGTTTCACTCCCGGGCCAAGCTGCTCAGCCTGTCTGGACAGCAGTTTTCAGGACTGGGACGTGGGGTTGAGAGCCGCTGTCTGGAGGCTTGCGTTTCGGTTTGTGTCTCACTGAGAGGCTGTCACTGGCTGATTGCTGAGTGCGTCTCCTTCCCGTCTCACGGCACCTTGTGAGCTAGGCAAACGGTGGCCCGTCACTGTCGCTCCCCCTCTTCGTGGAGGAACGACACAGGACCCTGCGCTGTTCTTTTGTCTGCTCGGCCCTTCCCGGGTTTGCTGCTGGTTCTTCCCGGGTTGGCTACCGACCCTTCCACCTCCGTGGAAGGGCGGTTCCCCCTGCCACTTTCCCTACTTCCGCGGGGGAGCGGCACACCGCCGGCCGGCTCTCTCGGGGGCTGCTCAGATGTTCCTCAGGTGTTCCCCTTAGATGTTCCTGGTGCATGTTGTCTCTCTCTCCTCCTTTATAGTCCTCTTCCAGCAATCCCAACTCTGCTACCCACATGCCGAGTACGCTGCTCTCCTCCAATCAGGAGCGGGATCAGCTCCTGCAGGTTACTGGTTGAACTGGAGGCAGCTGTGTAAAAGTTGTTTTTACTCCTCTCCCAGCGCCATATTGTGGGAGAGCAGATGCATAGAATAAGTCTTAATTCCAGTAACTTAGTCTAGTCCGAGTTGCTCCCCACACGTCACGGATTCTGACGGGCGTGGACAGCGACTTGGTGAGAGGGGGCTCTTTCCTCAAGCCCCTCCCTTCTTTGCCAACCCAGCCTTATTCTATCCTCAAGGCGTTTCTTCTTCACGAGACTTGAAAGTCGCACAGCATCTAGAAGGAACTTGACCACACAGGGTAGCTTGTACCTCTCGTTGTCGCAGTCAGATTCTCAGTTCCTTGAGAGCACGAATTATGTTTTAAACTTGAACGAAACAGTAAATGTAGCAGATGATGATGGGAAGAACTCTGAAGAGTGCACAGAGGTGGCAAGTGAAAAATCAGGTCCCCCAGGAATAGGATTCCAAGATGGCAGATTATGGAATGGCGGATTGTGCTAGGCTAGAGATAAACAGTAAAAAAAGAACGAAAGAACGAAAGAAAGAAAGAAAGAAAGAGTAGCAAGTCCTCCAACCTCTGTTTCTGCTTCCTGGCAGTAGCTAGGTTAACAGCTTCTTGTCTGTTTTTCCAGAAATAGTCTGTACTTAGGGAAGAATATGTGTAAAGGGATCCTATCTATGACTCATAAATAACCATAGTCTATGTAATTATGGCAAATGCAAGTCATTTGTGTGTGTGTCATTTTCCTCATTGTTCTGTGTAAGACCTGTCAATCTGTCTGTTTCTGACCCACATGTCATACGTCTACTTATTTAAATATCCCCGGTTTGCACTCCTATTTCTTCCTTCATGGGCACCCTTTCTGTTGTGACACACACACACGCATAATTTTTATGAGTTGTTACTAAATATGATTATGTTGACATCATCAAAACATAAATGAAAGGACATGTGTGTGAATATATATGTCTACACTGTACCTATGAGGATACTTCAAAAGGTTGTGGAAAAATGGAATCAAAGGGAAGTTTATTTGATGTTGAAAATTTTGAAGCCCATGCCTAGGTTTTTCATTATACACATTTTCCATGAACTTTTAGAAGGCCCTTGTAAGCATGGGTTGCAATATTTTTTTTGCACCAACATGAACTTATCTTTTAATTCCATCTCTCATGAACTTGTAGAAGTATCTTCATGTGTCTTGAAAAAACTTTTTTTAAAAATTTATTTATTTATTTGAAAGAGTTACACAGAGAGAGGAGAGGCAGAGAGAGAGAGAGAGAGGTCTTCCATCCGTTGGTTCACTCTCCAATTGGCTGCAACAGCTGGTGCTGTGCTGATCCAAAGCCAGGAGCCAGGAGCTTCTTTTGGGTTTCCCACATGGGTGCAGGGGCCCAAGTACTTGGGCCATTTTCTGCTTTCCCAGGCCGTGGCAGAGAGCTGGATTGGAAGTGGAGCAGCTGGGACTCGAACCAGTGCCCCTATGGCAGTACAAAGGAGCCTGCCTCATGCTTATCAGTAGCCACATAGAAATTCAGTGTGTTGAGATACTGTCTGTATCCCCTATTTGTATTTTGTACTTTGCTTTCTCTTTTTGTTCTTGCACTTTATTTTGCTAAAAACACTACAATGATGAGTTTTTTCATAAGCACTATTGCACATTTGAGTTTGTATGTAGGGGAAATTGTAATTCTTGATAGTAGAATGTTCATTTAAAATTCCCATTGATCAAATTACACTTCAGAGTGAGGGAACAATTCCTATAACCATCGCGAATGTGGAAGCAGAATATGTCTTTTGGTGGCAAATGGGAGCTCTCCTTACTAACCCATTAGGTTTTTAAGAAAGCCCAGCATGGTTTGAGCACCATCTGTGCAGAGGCTTCCCCAGGTAAGCCCCTCCTGGAAGGTAGACATTTCACTCACAGCCCATTGGCGAGAACCTGGTCATGTGATCATACCTGCTGGGGAGGCTGGGAAATGTAGTCCACCCTTGTTCCATTGCAATTCTGTGATTACAGAGGAGGAGTGCGTCAGGTGGACATGATGTGGCTCTACCACCCAGGGCAAGTTGTTGGGCTTTTTCTTGAGGTAAAGGTAGAGTTGCAGAAGGATCCACTCCTACATCGGCTCCCGTCTCCGCCCCTCTGCCAGGCACTCTTGCAGCGGAGGTGGGCATGGAGGGTTGGTCCACTGAGGACCACATACACCGTAGTTGCTGCTCAGACACCTCATCCTGGCTCACTTAGGCTCTTGCAACCAGGTGCATGGTACCTGCCACACACACCTTCCCTAACACGGACTCTCTGCTTATTTTCTAGGCCCTCTCTCAGCTCTTTGGCTTGCTACCGTGGCCTTGGTGGCACCCTGCCCCGGTGGTGAGCCCGGGGCTTCCTCCGCCCATGCAGACACCGCTTCCCACGACTGAGGGCCTTACCGGCCCCCTCTTTGGGGCTTACACACTGCCTACCTTCAAGTTCCAGCCTCGCCGCGAAAGCATAGACTGGAGGCGCATTAGCGCCCTGGACGTGGACCGCGTGGCCCGGGAGCTGGACGTGGCCACTCTGCAGGAGAACATCACCGGGGTCACCTTCTGCAACTTGGATCGGGAGACCTGCAGCCGCTGCGGGCAGCCGGTGGACCCGGCGCTGCTGAAGGTGCTGCGCCTGGCGCAGCTCATCATCGAGTACCTGCTGCACTGCCAGGATTGCCTGAGCACCAGCGTTGCCCAGCTGGAGGCGCGGCTGCAGGCCAGCCTGGGCCAGCAGCAGCGTGGCCAGCAAGAGCTGGGCCGACAGGCCGATGAGCTCAAGGGCGTGCGGGAGGAGAGCCGCCGGCGCCGCAAGATGATCAGCGCGCTGCAACAGCTGCTCATGCAAACAGGTGCCCACAGCTACCACACGGTGAGGATGCTCTGCATGGTGCTGCTGGGAGCCACCTGGGTGGTGCTGCCCCCGGCCATTCTCCGTAGTTAGCAGCAGATTTTAGGCATGCTGCTCATGGCCAGAGAGTCTGCGGATGCCTCATCAAGTTCTGTATATGTACGTGTGTGCATTACACTGCGGGAGGTGCATCCTTGTAGGGTGTGTGTATGTGAAGTGAGTGTTTACGTAGCAGGTGTGTATCGAGTGTGTGAGTGTATGGAGGATGGTGTGTATTAATGGATGATGTGAATGTGTGTGTGTGAATGCTTGGAAGGTACACTGAGTAGGATGTATGTGCACAGGCAGAGCACGTGCGGTGTGATGTATGCTTGCGTGTGACTTGTTTGTGGTGGTTTGCATAGAAGATGTGTTTATGGTGTGTGAGAGCAAATGGCGTGTATGTGTGTGAAAGTGTGCTTACGGAGGGTGTGTGTGTGAGCGTTGACGTGTGGATGAACAAAGGCTGTTTATGTGTGTAGGGGAGTGTGCACTCAGCGAGGGTGCAATGTGCACACGTGCGGATCTGTAGAGGGCGTGTGTGTGTGTGTGTGTGTGTGTAGGCAGTGTGGTGTATAAAGGGGTGTGCAGGTGTGAAGTCAGTGTGTGGCAAGATTGGTGGGGCCAGGCTGTTTTGGAAGAGTGACTCTCTTATTCAACCAAGTGACAGTTCATGAACTCAAACAGCATTTTTTTAAATTTTAGTTTATTTTTTTTTTAATTTATTTGACAGGTAGAGTTATAGATAGTGAGAGAGACAGACAGAGAGAAAGGTCTTCCTTTTGTTGGTTCACTCCCCAAATGGCCGCCACAGCTGGAACTGCGCTGATCCGAAGCCAGGAGCCAGGTGCTTCCTCCTGGTCTCCCATGCCACTGCAGGGGCCCAAGCACTTGGGCCATCCTCTACTGCCCTCCTGGGCCAGAGCAGAGAGATGGACTGGAAGAGGAGCAACCAGGACTAGAACCCGGTGCCCATATGGGATGCCGGCGCCGCAGGTGGAGAATTAGCCTAGTGAGCCATGGTGCCGGCCCCTCCAACAGCATTTGAACATTGGAGTCTGTCTTCATGAAGAGCCTTGGTTAGGGAGAGATGTTTACCCTTTAAAAATTTGTCTTGGTGTCAAGGCTCTGAAGGTGTAATCACCAGTTATGATGGTTAAGGTTTTGAAGAAATTCATAGTTTGAGGATGGATAGGTAATCTGTTTCCACTCACATGTCTGACACCCAGCGCGCAGGTTTTTTCTCCCCTACACCAGCCAACTCTGCAGCAACCCTGGGTGTCTTTTTTTTTTTTTTAAGATTTATTTTATTTATTTGAAATTCAGAGTTACAGAGAGGCAGAGGCAGAGAGAGAGGGAGAGAGAGAGAGAGAGAGAGAGAGAGAGAGAGGTCCTCCATCCCATGCTTCACTCTCCAGGTGGCTACAATGGCTGGAGTTGGGCTGATCTGAAGCCAGGAGCCCTGAGCTTCTTCTGGGTCTCCCATGTGGGTGCAGGAGCCCAAGGACTTCGGCCATCTTCTGCTGCTTTCCCAGGCCATGGCAGAGAGCCGGATTGGAAGTGGAGCAGCTGGGGCTTGAACTGGTGCCCATATGGGATGCTGGCACTGTAGGCTGCGGCTTTACCCGCTGTACCACAGTGCCAGCCCCGACCTGGGTGTCCTTGAGTTCAATTCAATTCTGACATTATCTCCCTGGAATTAGTGTCAGACCCCACAGGTTCAGGGCTCACTCTCACAAAGCTGACCCCACTTCAGGTGCAAGTTAGACCCCTGTACTTTCGACCAATAGCCTTGTCTTCATTTTCAGTAATTTGATAGAACGGCTCAAAGAACGGGTATTGATTTATTCTAAAGGCTACAACTCAGAACACTCGCCAGAGAGAGGTGCACGGGGCAAGGCGTGGGGAGAGGGCTTGGAGGTGTTTTTTTTTTTTTTTTTTTTTTTTTTTTTTTTTTTTTACAGGCAGAGTGGACAGTGAGAGAGAGAGACAGAGAAGGTCTTCCTTTGCCGTTGGTTCACCCTCCAATGGCCGCCGCGGCTGGCGCGCTGCTGCCGGCGCACCGCGCTGATCCGATGGCAGGAGCCAGGAGCCAGGTGCCTTTCCTGGTCTCCCATGGGGTGCAGGGCCCAAGCACTTGGGCCATCCTCCACTGCACTCCCTGGCCACAGCAGAGAGCTGGCCTGGAAGAGGGGCAACCGGGACAGAATCCGGCGCCCCAACCGGGACTAGAACCCGGTGTGCCAGCGCCGCAAGGCGGAGGATTAGCCTAGTGAGCCACGGCGCCGGCCGCTTGGAGGTTTTGTGCCTTCTCCAGGTACGCCACCTTCCAGCACCTGCATGTGGCCCCAGCCTGGGGGTTCCGTGCATCCCATGGCTGGATTTTGCGTGGTGCTGTCACCATGCAGGTGCGAATGATTGAATCATTGACCGTTGATGACTAAGCCAACATTTAGCCCCTCTCCTCTCTCTGGGGGTACAAGTGGGGCTGAAAGTGCCAACCTTCTAATCATGCCTGGGTCTTCTTGGTGACCAGCCCCCATTTAGAAGCCATTGGGATCCCTAGCCACCAGGCACCTCATTAGCATACAGACGCCACTCTTATGGGCCTAGAGATTCCAAGGGTCTCCTAAGCCCCTGTGGCAGGAATTGGAGACGCAGACCAAATGTGATTACAGAAGATGTTCTGATCACCCCCAAAGCTGGGGAAATTATAAGGGTTTTAGAAGCTCTGTGCCAGGAGCTAGGAGAGAAGAATGAATATATATTCTTATTATATCACAGTATCATGATGGGACAGAAGGCACCATTGCGATAAAAGGTTGATTAATAAAATGGTAACTGATGTCCTATTTATGACAAGATAGCAGCCTAACCTTACGAGGGCCAGTAAGGGATTTATTGGTGAACGTGTCTGCCGAGTCCAGTGATGTGGAGTCACTCAGGTCTAGCTCGCCCCAGGAGCCGGATACTGGCAGCGGGATCTACTCTCTCTCGATGGCTCTTGAGCCTCTTCCTATGTGTGGATTCTGCTCTCATAAGGATTCCATCCAGGTGGTCGCACGCTGGGCCGCTCTAGTGCCAGTTTCCCATTTTCCCCGAGTCAAGGCTGGCGTGAAAGAGGGCCTACCGTGGTGCCAGCTGTCCAGCTTGTATATCGCCGTGCCACCTGTATTTGAGTCACATGCCCATCCTTGAACCCCTCGCAGGGGCCCCCAGGAAAGCAGGGTTCTGCTGGGCTGTGGTCTTGGCCACATGTTCCACCATGGAGCCGGGGGCAGGCTGAAGCCACCGTGGCTCAGCTCTCAGCTCCATTGTTCCACGGAGCAGAAAGGGAGGGGGTGGAGAATGGCACGGCTTTTTCTTTAACAACACCTCCCGGAAACTGCATCTACCTCTCTGCTTCCTTGGCACAGGCAGGAATTTAGTCACGGGTTGCACACGGTGGCAGAGTGGCAGACGGGAGGGTTAGGGCATACACGGTTTATTCTCGCTTGTCCCTTACTAGCTAATGTCAGGGTTTCTATTTCGGAGGAAGAAAGGGGGAGGGGGTGGGGGACAGTTGGCACGTGTTGGCACATTTGCTTTTGTGCAACGATCACACGTAATCTGCTGTTTCCCCGTGATGGAGTTGAAACGGCGTCGTGCAGAGCTGTGCTGAGAATCCTGAAGTCCGTTGATGTGATGGATTGGCAGTATCTGCGGTGCCGTCAGAGAGGGAAGTGGAATTCCCAGTGCTGTTCATTTGCTATCTCTGCCTCTGGTGGTTCTCAGCCCTGGGGGCGGGGGCAGACCTAGACACTGGCATTTTTTTTAAAGAAACTTCTTGTTATGGAAACTATCAGACATATGTAAAAGTAGAGAGAATAATACACGGACCCTTCATCTGCATGCACATGCCACCCAGCTCAACAGTTACCCCCTCGTAGCCAGGCTGTGCTGCCTGACCCCTGCCCGCCTTCTCTCACCTCCTGGATCACTTTTTTTTTTTTTTTTTTTAAGATTTATTTACTTATTTGAAAGGCAGAGTTGAGAGAGAGAGATATGGAGAGAGAGAAGGAGAAAGATCTTCCATCCACTGGTTCACTCCCCAAATGTCTGCAACAGCCAGAACTGGGCTGGTCTGAAACCAGGAGCCAGGAGCTTCTTCTGGGTTTCCCATTTGGGTGCAGGAGCCAAGCCCTTGGTCCATCCTCTGCTGCTTTTTCGGGCCATCAGCAGAGAGCTGGATTGGAAGTGGAGCAGCTGGGACAGGAACCGGCGCCCATATGGGATGCCGGCACTGCAGGTGGCAGCTTTACCTGCTATGCCACAGCACCGGGCCCCTTCCTGGATCATCCAGAAGCACATTAGTTGTGAGATTTTGTCAGTACATAGTTCAATTTGTGTCTGCAAGCAAGGATCCCTCCCGTAAACAGAGTATTGTCCTCACACTGGACAATCAGCAGTTCCTTTGTGTCATCCAATACACAGTCAGTGTTCCCAGCAGCCAGGGCTCTCATAGGATTTGGGAGCTGCTCAGGCGATTCTCACGGGCACCACCTTGCTCAGTGAATCTCATTCTGCCTTCCCGGAGCAGCGCAGGGGTCCCTGGGGAGTGGGAGCTTTGATACAGTCCCTGGCTGACTTACCCTCATTCCTTACCGTGTCCCTTCTCTGCAGTGCCACCTGTGTGACAAGACGTTCATGAACGCCACCTTCCTCCGAGGCCACATGCAGCGCAGGCACACAGGCACGGCAGGAGGTGAGAGTTCTTGGTGTTAATGACCAGTGTATATGCGTTAATTGGTATCCTGTTTATGTTATTCGAGTAATTCTTTAAATTTTTTTTATGTTTTCAATTTTTGAAATATTTTCAACTTTTATTTGAAAGGCAGTGGTTCACTTCCCAAATGCCTGCAACAACTGGGATTGGGCCAGGCTGAAACCAGAGGCTGGGAACTCAATCCAGGTCTCCCATATGGGTGGCAGGGATCCTGTTACTCGAGCCATCACCCCTGCCTCCCAGTGTGCATGTTAGCAGGAAGCTGGAGTTGGAAGCGGAGCTGGGACTTGAACTCACCCAGCTGTTCCAGTACGGTATGCAGGCATTCCCCTGGCTGTGCCAGCGGTCTGTCCCTGCTGCAGTAATTGTGCATTTACATTGCTGCATGTCAGGACTGGCACACCAGCTATTTTAAGTGACAAGGCAGTAATCATTCTCCTTCACTGAGTTGTGCCAGGTGCTGTGCGAAGCTCTGTGTGCTCACTTTCAGCCCCATGGCAACCCTGAGGGAGGACGGCTGTTGGTGGCTGCATTTTGCCGTCTGGGGACTCCAAAGGTCACGGGACATTGTGTCCTGTGCCCCGAGTCAATGACATGGTGGCAAAGCTGATTTCAGACAGAGCCGAGCCTTGCAGAGGTAACAAGCGCCGCTGACTTTGGGACTTAGCCCTGGCCGCCTTTTCTTTGCGTGGACTCCACAGGAAAGCAGAAGCAGGAGGAGCCGGTGGAGGAGGTGTTAGAGGAGCTGCGAGCCAAGCTGAAGTGGACCCAAGGGGAGCTGGAAGCCCAGAGGGAGGCCGAGAGGCAGCGGCAGCTCCAGGTGGGTGTGGCAGGGGCCACTCAGGGGACGCAGATGCCCAGGACTGCCACGGGACCAAAGTCCCACTAGGCTCTCTAGAGCCGTCAGGGCGAGGATAGCCCCTTCCTGGACAATACAAGTGACTTCAGGTGGTCTGGAAGGCAAATTCGAATTACTTTGCCAGACCCCTGTGGCCAAAAGTGTAGCAGAGAATTGCAGCTTCCCACGGAGCTCAGCATCCGCTGAGGGCATTTGAGCCTCAGTTTCTACGGCACCAACAGTAGCTTTGTGAGGGCAAAGACTGAAAAGCTCCAGAACCGGGCCCAGAGGAAGTGTCCTGTGTCGTGTACCGACGGCAGACACGCCGAGGACGCGTCGCTGGGCAGCGTTCTCCTCGTGCAGACCACACGGGGAGTCCTCGCACAAACCTCGGTGGGGCCGGTCAGCCATGCCGGTGGGCTCTGATGGAATTGAGGCGCGGTGAAGAGGACATGTTTGAGTCTGTGGCTGCTGTGACACACAATGCGATTGGAGGGTCAACTTATGAAATAAGGGAAAGAACCATGAAAGTACAGTGAACGCATAACCAGTAGCATATTACCAGTTCTGATGTTCTGTACGTAACTGAATCTCCTATGCTTTTGTATAACTGGCAGCTCAGTAGGTTTTTGTACGCCCCTGTCACCAGAAACATGTGAGGAACGCATGGCGTTAGCATGTTAGGATGGCTGTGATGTCACCAGGCGTGAGGAATTTTCAGCTTTGCTATAATCATTTTTTTTAAATATTTATTTATTGAGAGGCAGAGTTACAGACAGTGAGAGGGAGAGACAGAGAGAGAGGTCTTCCATCCGCTGGTTCACTCCCCAAAAGGCCGCAACGGCTGGAGCTGGCCGATCCAAAGCCAGGGGCCTGGAGCTTCTTCCAGGTCTCCCACATGGGTGCAAGGGCCCAAGCACTTGGGTCGTCTTTTGGTGCTTTCCCAGGCCATCAGCAGGGATCTAGATTGGAAGTGGAGCAGCTGGGACTTGAACTGATGCCCCATATGGGATGCTGGCACCACAGGCGGAGGGTTAACCTGCTACGTCACAGCATTGGCCCCTCTGCTATAATCTTATGGAACCAGCATATATATATATATATATAGTCTGTGGTTGACTGAAATGTGGTTGTGGGGTTCCTGACTGTATGTGGAGAATGAAAATAAATAAACTTGCCCCGCTTATTCCATTTTTTTTTTTTTTTTTTTTTTTTTTTACTCATTGATCACTCCTGCCCTTAGCATGTGTTCATTGAGTACCTACTATGCCAGCACCGTGAGGACTGGGAAGAGGGGAGAAGACGTGACTCAGACCTCCGGAGGGCCTGTGGTCTAGTTAAGGCTGTCTTGGACTAGCCTCTTCCAAGTCCAAACAGTGGGGCTGTGGGCTGAGTGTTCTTTGGGTTTCTGTAGTGACGTGCATATAAGCAGGGGGCCTGGCAGGCTTTCAGCAAATATTTGCTAACACGTGGAATTTGTGATTAGTGTGTTGTTCTTTCTTCTTCTTCTTCTTCTTCTTCTTCTTCTTCTTCTTCTTCTTCTTCTTCTTCTTCTTCTTCTTCTTCTTCTTCTTCTTCTTCTTCTTCTTCTTCTTCTCCTTCTCCTACTCCTTCTCCTCCTCCTCCTCCTCCTCCTCCTCCTCCTCCTCCTCCTCCTTCTTCTTCTTCTTCTTTTTGTAGGAAGCAGAGCTTACTCGCCAGAGAGAAATTGAAGCTAAGAAAGAATTTGACGAATGGAAAGAGAAAGAGCAGACCAAGTTTTATGGGGAACTAGATAAGTTGAAAAAACTATTCTGGGATGAAGTTCAAAGTGTCGCCAACCAGAACTCTACGCTAGAAGAGGTACCTGGTGAATAGAAGATCTCTGTCTGTCTCTCTCTCTGTAGCTCTTTTAAATAAATGAATCAATCTTAAAGAAAAAAGCAAAGCATTCGACACCACTAAAATACCCAAGTTGAGAAATGGTTAACGTTTGGACCCAGTGTGGCTGAAGCGACAGATGAGAGGAGTTAGCAAGACTGGTTCCAAGTTAAACTCAGGGCTTCCAGTTCCTTAACCCGTCCACCAGGCTCAGGGTTGAATACAGCCGTGGAGATGGACATGCGCTGGTTTTGTTTCTATGACAGCGGCGTAACCACTGGGATGTGGAAAGGTGTCTTTCTTTGATCCAGTTCTCCGTGGCTTTCCCTGCAGGTCAAGAGTCGGGCTTGGGTGACTTTGGCTGCGAGCTGAGTAAAGCCAGTAGCCATGAGATTTGGTGGGGAGAGGTGCGGGAGTCCCCAGGGAGTGGTGTGGGTGCCTGAGACTCTCCCGTTGCCTCTGAGTGTCTAGTTTAGTCTTCAACTTCCAGAATGAGGAGGAAACCGGGCTGCAGTCAGGCGAGCTCGAGGCTTTGCGGGCCACAGAATTTAAGTGAAATTGCGATGGTGCTCTTGCATCCTGTTCTTCCACGGGAACTTGCTTCTGTGCCAGGGCGGGGCCCTCAGGAGCACTCTTGGGACAGGCGGTGCTGTGTGTGGCTGTTTGCAGGCCCGTAGGCATTAGTGAGGATGAGCCCGGCATGTCCTTCTGAACGGCTGCTGGGGTAGGCTACACGAACACGTCGTGATTGGATCTTCATCTAAATAAGGCTGCACCCTGGCCTTTCCAGAAGCTTCAGGCACTGCAGTGTCACAGCGTGACTCAGTCCAACCTTGGATCGCTGCGGGATGAGGAGTCAGAGGAGCGACTCCGGCAAGCGCAGGAGCTGCAGGCCCTCAGAGAGAAGATGGAAACTCAGGTGAGCGCGGCTCCGTGCCTGCCTTCCCCAGGCCAGCCAGGAACGGCTCTCTTCCCGCAGGGCCTCTCATTTTGGCTCTGGATTTAGGGAAGTCGAAAGACATCAGAGTTGTGTATTTTCAGATCTTCTGCTGGTACTCGAAAGCAAAGCATAGAACAGGGTCCGCAGGTGAGGCTGGTAGGATGTGTGCAGTGTGGATTTGCCTGGGTCATTTTCAGAATCCATCCCTCTGTGGGGCTGCTTTGACCCTTCCGCCCTCTGTTACGATTCTAACCCAGTTGCAAGCAGCTCTTAGTGTGACAGTTGCTTGCACCTGAGGATAGTTGGGAAGGGTCCGGGTGCAACGGTAAATGGTTAGCAGCCGGCTCTCTCTGGAAGTGAAAGAGCTGTGACCTGCAGCATTTGCCGTTCCCATGGTGTAAATCCTCCCGCCGTGGCCGACGTCCTGTGATCTACGTGAGGTCACCAAGTGGGGTTGGGAAGACTTGTGTATATAGCGCCTGTGGGCCGGTAGGGGGTGGCTCCGGCCACTACTGGAGGAATTTCATTGCGGTCCGGTTATATGCTGGTTTGAGGCACTGATAACCTTGCAGCAAGGAAGAGCAGCCAGCAGTCACTGGACAGAAGCTGTTCTGTTCAAACAGCCCCCCCCCCCCCATTATTGTCCATCCTTGACCTTGGCCAGGCTCTGTGTTTGGTTCCAGCACCATAAGCCAGTACCTTTTAATTCCTGTAGCTTTGTGATATGCTTTGAGAAGATACGCTTGATAACCTTTGAATCTTTTTCAGAGAACAGAGTGGAAGAGAAAAATGAAGACCCTGCGTGAGCAGCACACGGTTGAGAAGAGAGAGGTAGTGGGCGCCGTGCAGTCTAGGGGTCGGGGAGGGGGCGTGGCTTCCAGGACGCGTCTTGTGGCTCAGCAGTCCCTGCCTTGGCTCCCCACCACCCCCACCCCAGAGCTGCTTGGCAGTTATGTTGGGCTAATACACAGGAGCCAGCTGCCTGGCCAGGGGGTTCCCTCCTGAACCCCCCTCCCCCTTTTTTTTCGGTTTTTTTTCGGGGGGGATCGGGGGCCCTTTGGGGGGCCCCCCCCCCCCCCCCCCGCGGGGGGATTGGGGGAGGGCTGGGCTGGGAGTCTCAGATGAATCGCCTGGGTATTTTGTGTTTGTGCTCTGTGACACGCCCCCCTCCCCAGAGAGGACCTCAGGGAGGGTTCTGGGGCAGTCCCATGGCCTCGGGGCACAGAACACTGTGGAAGTGCCAGGGGATAAGCAGCTCATTGATAAGAGCCCCAGGTTCTGTGCTGGGAAAGCTCATTGGTTGCAAAGGCTTAGGTGGGGCTGGCCCAGGACAGATGCTCCTCACTCCATTTTTCAAGTGAGAAGTACATTCAGATTTATCCCCAAAGCAGAAAGCATGCATATTCAAGTACATTGACTGAAATCTCATACACACCTGTGCTCATCTACCTGTCCCAACACCTACCCACAGGTGGTAACTTTTACCGTGTTCTTGTGTAAAGAAATTCATAGAGAATTTCTTTATGTAAATATAACTAAGTAGTCTTATTTTATCTATGTTTTTATATCAGAGGTACATGTTACCACATTTTCTTCACCTTTTGTTCTTACCTATAAACATTCAAAAATCATCATTTGATGATTGGAAAAATTTATTTGAAAGGCAGAGAGAGAGAGAGAGAGAGAGATCAATCTTCCATCTGCTGGTTCACTCCCCAAATGCAGTGCCAGTCCAAAGCCAGGAGGCTGAAACTCCATCCAGGCCTCCCTTATGGGTGACAGGAACCCACCTACCTGGGCTATCACTCTGTGCCTCCCAAGGTGCCTCCCAAAGTGAGTCAGGACTTGAACCCTGGGCACTCCAATATGGGGTGAGGGGGTCCCAAGCTACAGCTTAACCCACTGGCCCACAAAGCCCGCCTCTATTTGGTATTTTTTTTTAAGATTTTATTTATTTGAGAGGTAGAGTCACAGACAATGAGAGGTAGAGACAGAGAGAGAGAGGTCTTCTATCCACTGATTCACTCCCCAAATGTCTGCAACGGCCAGAGCTGAGCCAATCCGAAGCCAGGAGCCAGGAGCCTCTTCTGGGTCTCCCACGCAGGTGCAGGAGCCCAAGGACTTGGGCCATCTTCTACTGCCTTCCCAGGCCACAGCAGAGAGCTGGATCGGAAGAGGAGCAACCGGGACTAGAACCGGTGCCCATATGGGATGCTGGTACTGCAGGCGGAAGCTTAACCTACCACACCACAGCGCCAGCCCGAGCTGAACTCCTTACCACCTTGAGTCCAGGCTGGAAGCGACTGACCTGTGGATTGGCTGGGGCTGAGCAGGACCGGGCACCCCCAGGCCCAGCAGGGGGCAGACTCGAGCCTCGTGCCTGCCCAG